TATTTCGAACAAACAGACATGTCAGAGTTTCCGAATATATCATTAGAATTCGTGGCGAATAGTTATTACACACACACACACACACACACACACACACACACACACACACACACACACACACACACACACACGCACGCACACACACACACACACACACACACACACACACACACACACATATATATATATATATATATATATATATTTGTACAATTCTTTTTGACATATTTTAATATATAAAATTCCACTATTTTATGATATGTCGATAATTTATTAGTTCGTCGTCTCAATCGTTTCGTCATTCAATATCAATATTTGCATGCCAGTTTTCAATGAATTAAAATTAGTATTGTTCTTATATGTCACTTTGATGCTAGATTTGAAAATAAAATAGGTAGTTTTTGTACAATTGCTTAAGGTCGTCGCACAGCGCGTGTTCGAATTTCATGTAAATAAACAATGTATTTTACACGCGTTGTATATGTCGCTATAAGTCCCATATCGAACAGGACGCGGCACGACGACTGCCGCCCTTTAACATTTCAGTTACCTGACTACAGATTGTTGTTCAAATAGCAGATTGCGTGGTGCGATAATTAATCCCCGTTCGGACGGATGCAGTCCGAAACGGGGACTTATGGATTGACCTGGCGTGTCCGTGCGTCCAGACCTATATCTTAGGCATGTATGGACAAATTACATTCAAACTTCACCCATACATCATACACAATATTCTACATATGCACGAAAAATTTGTTTCACGTTCTGACTCAAAATAGCCAAAAGGCGGCCATTTCTGTGCTTAAAAAGCATCAAATATCAAGCATTTCTGGCCTTTGTGGATGGATTTGCACATACATTGGACAACATGGATCCCTGATGCACATCATTTTATTTTTCAGATCGCATTTACATTGGCCGACTGGTGGTCATTTTGTTTTAATGAATGTAGTTCTAGTGCCATATCTCTACCATGCTTTGAATGATGGTCAAATGGCGGCTATTTTTCTGCTAAAAAAATCATCAAAAATCAAGCATTTGTGGCATTTATGGATTGATTTTGTTCAAACTTGTACAAACATTAGACATCAGGGATTCCTGATGCACGTCATTTTATTTTTCATATCAGATTCAAAATGGCTGGCTGGCGACAATTTTGTTTTAATGAATGTTCTTCTAGAGCCATATCTCTGACATGCTTTGACTGATTATATGTTCAAATTTCATATATTCGTTTTACATCATGTTATAGATGTATTCAAAATGGCCGATTTTGTTTTAATTAATGCTGTTCCAGAGCAATATCTCGCAATATAGACAAGTACTAGTTTGACGGTCAGTTACAAGATGTCAATCATTTTAATGTTGAAAATCATAATCATATCCCAAAACTATATATATTAAATTCGATAACTAACGGTGACTGTGCCATGCATGGCTTGTTGACGAATGGAATAGTTATCACGTATGAACCATTACACGAACGCTTGTAAACCGCAGACGATATTACCGTTACTACATAATTTCCATTTTGCAAAATTAACTAATTTCACGTAAGACAATCATAATTTCGAATCTCATTACAACATTTACAGAACATATGTGATTCACTGACAATTCCACAATCACCCATGATTTAGTCAGTGATTCATTAGAACTTCACGTAGCGTATATTAACATCCTGGATACGAGTCATTTAGTTGTCATATTTACCGAGGTTACCGATTTGTAACATACAATCAACGTGTCTGGGCTACTAATGCTTTGCAGGGTCACAGTGAACTTTTGTCGGTGGTAAATTAAAATCATTCCATTGAGGAACACGTGCAATAGTTTGAACAAAATAAACAATTCATTCACATCATTGTACGGTGCGGTGCAATGACAGATAAAACTGGATACAGAATAAAAAGTTAATTCAATCTGTCTTTGGGCAGTGTATGTGCCTGGTAGTTAGTCAAACACTACAGTGGTATGTAAGACTTGTATTTGTTGAGAAATAAAATACAGTTCAATATTATACGTATCAATCGTTTCTATATCTTTGCTGTTCTTAGTATAAAAGTGGGTGCTGGTTTGGCAAAACGAGACACTACAGCGTGAGATATTTTTCATGTCAGCTACTGGTATATATTGTATTACCTTATTATGAGAGTTGAGGGCGCTGTATTGAACATAATCACGTACTTTTTGTTCTGGATAAAATCACATCGATTGAAGTACGGCAAATTATAGAAGCCTATTTTGTTTTCTTTTTTTTTTTTTGATTTACATATTCAATTTCTTGTTATTTTTTGTTTACTTAAGGTAGAGATGCAGTTTACCTGACAGGTATTTTAATTAGTTAATTAGGAAACCAAGATGACCTCTCTTGTCCACAAAACTATATGTTTTCGGAAAGCTTATTGTATGAATTTTAAAATTTTGTTAGCATTTTTTTATGGACACTGTAGTTTGCAATATGCACAAAAATGGGCTTTTTTGGTCAAAAGTGATTTAAAAAAAATAACTCCTAAACCATGCTTCTGTTTCCTGTCAAAATTGGTTTGTGGGTACATCTGTTTACTATGAAAAAAGTGCCGTCTTGAAAACTGTCTACCAGTTGTCAATTTTGCAGGGCAGCAGCCCAAATTTCACTACTTCACGTTTATGCATAAATTAACACCCAGGCTAGTTGTCTGTACGATTTTGTAACACTGTTCAACCAAAAACAATGCCCGGCAGCGTTTTGAAGATAAACACATTGTCAATCATTTGTGAAAATTTCAAAACAAAAGGTCAAAGCGTCTAGGAGCTTTTTTGTTTTAAAGTTCTGGGATGTGCACTAAAAAGGAGCTGAGATAATTGCTAATTTGCATAAAAATTCACTCAGTGAGAAGTTTGCTAATGCTCATAATTAAAATGGCTGTAACAGTTCCAAATTTAAATGTATTTTAGTTTTGTTAACAGTTAAATATAGTGCATAATATGGAGATCCCGTCATTTCTTTTTTTCACCATGTTTCTTTTTTATTATTTATGTACAGCTTTGCTAAATTTTGCTAAGCATTCAAAAGAGAGAATGTTTGCGCCTGTTATCTATATTTTAAAATCGTGTTTTGAGTATTTTCCACTATTCACAATTCTACAAAATTTTAACAGTCTATAGCCAAGACTATTTAGATAATAAAAAGCAAAAAATAAAATTTCACTCCCAAGTGCCCACAAACCTGCGTCTTAAGTCTATATTTTGGTTTTATTTATTATTTAGTTTTTCATAACCGTATGAGAAACTATTGCTGAAATTACAACAATCAAGAAGCAGCCATTGGGCGCGCCAAATATGCTAATTATGTTATTGTAACAGTGTACTTCACACGTACAATGTGTGTATTTTTTTCGGAATATTTGCTCACATTCGCTAAGAGTCTCTCACTTACAGCCGATGCTGAAAATAAACACACTAGCTTACCAACACGAACCATCATTGTATTGTTTTTAAATCGGCAAATTCTGGACGGACTTTTTGTAGCGCGTACAATTACACAAATTTGTGACGTCACACTATGCAGTATTCATGTCATGTATTACGTCACATAATAGAGATACGTTCGTTATGCATGTGATAGCAATAATTGAAATATGAAAATAAAAACGAGGATTTTAGTCAGAAAAACATGCCGATAATTATCACTCATATTGCTTCTTTAATTTACCCTTTATGATCGTCAAGGAACAAAACAAAATAACAGTGCATAAATTAACATAGCGCAAACAAATATACACTGTGCAAAATATAATACAACTTACTTATTTATATGAAGCAAGGCCCGTTTTTTTCCATCCATAACTATATTTTGCTGACATAAATATAGTGAATTTCAGGGAATGCTAATGAGTGTCAATCTATAATCCTTAGGGACAGCATCAAAAGTTCAATGTAGAATAAAAAACTTAATTCTTTTAGTTTTTTTCCAAAAACCCACCGAAACCTAATTGATAAATATTGATCATGGCGTCTTACCAACTCACGCCCAAAAAACCCAGCCACCAAACATTCAGCCGTTCAAGAGGAAATAATGAAGGGGAATATACACATGCGCAAACATGTCTGGGTTCTGCGCATGCTCTAGGTGCATGCCCTGAAATTGACCTCATTTGACGCACATATTCACAGTCTGACCAAACCATTTTCTCGGATGTTTTTATTTCATTTTCTGTTATTTTTGTCCATGATTGGATAGAAAAAAAGAACGAACTGCAAATACTTCAAGATTGTTTTGACTTCATTAAAAAATACAATCGTTTTTGTAAGGTGGAAACTGTTTTTACCCCCAAAACTAAAGCAAATAAGTTTGTTATCCGACATCGATCATTTGACGTCGTCCCTTATTGAACCATGAAAGTAGCTGTAATAGAATAAAATTTATAGTTACACTAAATCATTAGTTTACATGTTTCACTGAATTTCAGGCATGGATGATACCTAACTCAGTGTGTGTCAATAATTGTAGCTTCAACAACAGGAAATTACACAGTACCGTTTTTGCTGACTGGATAGTGAAATCAATATGTGACAAACGTCGTATAATTTATCACCACAAACGTCTACAAACACATATTCACAGTTTGTTCATTTCGACCAGAAACCACAGCATACAGGTCACCATACTTGAATCATATATATGAAATAGGGGATATGCTTGCGCAATAGACTGGCTGTAATTTGGATGATTTTCTCTAATTAAAATAAGTAAAATAAATAAGAGCGAGATTTTACCACTATTTAGTGATCATTCATTTCTTCAACTTATATTTTTACTTAATTATGGTACAAATTAATCAGAATAGGGCAAGCCAGGACTTTGCTCATTCGTAGGATGATTAACTCTGCTACTTTGAAATTTGTCAGTTGTACTAATATCAAGGCTAAATTGTACAAGTTGAGATTATTATTATTATGGCAATAGAATACAGTACATAAGACAGACAGACTGTGATCATTAAAACATATCGTAGCTATCATATAGTCATAAAGAGAGGATCTAAATAAGCCAATCTGTTTGGACTTCCGTTCGCGATACCATCACCATAAACTTGATTGTGGGTACAAGTATCTAAAATAGCCGTTTTAACTTCATCTGGTGTAAGGTTTGGGTTCTTCTGTAAATGGATAGCAACAATACCTGTGAATAAATGGTTAAACATTGAAAATATGCTGTCAGTCACACAACACAACAAGAGAAACCAGAGACATATATGTAATCGTGACAGTCAATATTATCTATATGCTAAATAAACAAACATCTAACATAATTACTGTTAATTAATATTGATATATAGATAAATACATGCTATGTTATTAAAAGTCATCATAGTCACAGAACATGGAAAACAAGTGAAAAATCTCGCGGCAAAACATTATTTTATTGTGAATTTAAATATCCTTTTGAAGAGGGAGAAATTGAGTTGATCATCATCAAATTTGTTATTAGCACAATAATAAGCGTGGGCATACTCCAAAGTAATTTTCTAAATCACAAACAATGAAAAATAGTTATTGTAATTAAATGTTGTGAGAGTATTCAGCATAATAACATGCTACCAAATGAATAAGCAGCTTTCTCAGTGAGACAGTCAACGTATGCATTGGAAATGATAAAACATGGCCACCAATCAGGCATTTTACTTAAATCACCTTACAAAACTGATGTGCTTATGTGATTTGCCGACTCAAAAAGAGGAAAATAATATGTTTTTGTTGTTGTTTGGCTTGTATGTGTAAGGGAGTCGTATTTCGTATTTCTGTACTTAGTACCCAGCCTTAGCGCCATATATATAATATAAACAAATATAAATAACTAAATAACTAAACAAACAAACAAATAAATAAATAAATAAATAAATAAATAAATAAATAAATAAATAAATAAATAAATAAATAAATAAATAAATAAATAAATAAATAAATAAATAAATAAATAAATAAATAAATAAATAAAACTATTACTACTTTAGCCTAGCAATTATGCGCTCTCCGAGTTACGAATTAGTGGCGGCGGTCCAGGAGGGGGCAGAAGGGCGGCGGTCCAGGAGGGGGCAGAAGGGCGGCGGTCCAGGAGGGGGCAGAAGGGCGGTGGCCTTCTCGAACAAAATCGTGGGCGTCGCCAAAATCAAGCTGAAACCTTTGTGTCAGCAAAATTTGATCTTCAAAATGCAGAAAATAGCGTTTGAGAAGGTATATATTTCAAAATGTTTAAGGTTGCGCCTTCGGTGCAAGGTTGGTGAGCATATTCCCCGCCCCATGCAAAATTTCGTGCCGCCGGCTCTGCGAATGACATGTACTGTGTGCCGGCTCTGCGAATGACATGTACTCTGTGCCGGCTCTGCGAATGACATGTACTCTGTGCCGGCTCCACCGCAGTCAAGGCTGCATCGCTGCCAAGTGCAATATTCTCTGTGCATTGACCTCTTGAATGCAGCACGTCGGGTAATCCCCACGTGACCTCAGGATGATTAACATTGTTAAAATTGTCAATCAACCAAATTACCGTTAATCAATAACTATTTGTTGAGGTCACCGTTTATATATGTGTTGATGTGACGCTGACCTCAGAAAGCGCTTAGATTCTGTATTATAATAATCACTGGTTAAGCGAAAATTAAGCAAAATTGATATATATATATATCAACAGTTGTTGATACCATAAACAAGAGTTGAGGGTGATAAATTATGAAATAAGGAAGTAGTGTATGTGTACCTGCTACAAAAGGACATGCCATCGAAGTGCCACTTATAAGACGTGTATCTTTATTGGAGAAGCCAGGTGTTCTGATAAAATTGCCCGGTGCGTATATATCAACGCACGAACCATAGTTACTGTAGTCGGTAGCATGGTCGTCACTTGCCGTAGCTGCCACTGTGATAGACTATCAAATAAATTTGCTATATATTTATGGAAGAAACTGATATATATATATATGTCCTGGCACCTAACTGGTACCAGTAAAAATACAACAAGATATCGGACATGAGACCTATCCAGGAAAGATTTGCCCAAAGATCATAGTTCACTACCAGAAACGGAAGCGTGTCGATTGTATCTCTAATTACATACCTATTATTGAACTTGCCCCATATGGTACATCATTGGAATGTGTTTGTCCCACACAAACTAGCATGTAATGTCACGTGACAGCGATAATGATATTCACATAAAACTATCCAAATAAATAGACACGTGACTACATTTATGCATTGATGGATATAAAAGAAGGCGTAAATTGGAGGAAAGTGTTGACTGAAAACTGAAAGATATTTTAACTAAGTGTAAGCCTTACCGATGGCGAACTAGAGGGAGTGAAATCGCACGCATTTTGTCCTTCGTTTCCAGCCGCCACAACAACAGAAAATCCACTTGCTATGGCAGATTCTACAGCATCATGCATTGACTGCAGAAATTGACCACTCAGGGCCATAACAATGAGTCCAGGTTTCACCCCATTAGCCACCACATACTCCAAACCTATAAAAAGAATATAGGGCATATAGTATGAAGCAATACACAATTATCACACGGAATTGTATATATATAAAATAATTGTATGTAATTTTAGTGGGTGATTGAAATTTCACATATAATCACATACAAATAGCCACATTCTATGTCAATGGGTTACTGGTAGATATGAGATGCATGAACAGATGTACCTTTTACCGTGATGACAAAATACAAGGCGACAATTTAAAAAAAATACACATGTATTGTTAAGTGGTGTGGAAAATCCTGCAGACAAGAAGAAATGACGCGGGTCCACACATTTGAATGTGGATCTGTCATATTTGGATGTGGATTTGTCATACTGGGATATGGACGGTATATAGATAATAAGTATTTATTGCTTTCCTAGGCCACCGGCCCATATACAAACATAGCAAACCAATGCTTAAAATGTAACGGGTACAAGAAGAATATGATAATATTCTCGGTTAATGATCACATGGAATTAAATAATAATTAATTTGTTAAC